AATTTGTAGAAATATATAGCAACATGTTTATTTTTCTTAATGTTATATTTGCTGCGGTTTTATGACGTTTTATTTCAGAGTCTATGAGAAGAAAACGTCCTCGGAAAGAAACATCAAAGGGATATCGGTTCTGTACGTACAAGGGATGTAACTTCAAGCTACGCGACGATGATGGAATTAATTATTCTTTAAAAAGAAGACTGTCTCGCTCACGGTTTTTGATGGTGGTTTTTCCGTGAGACTAAGGGGAAATGCCGAGACAGGGACATGGGAGTGCTTAGCGCACGTTGGGTACCACAGAGTAATTTCCCCCCCTTGTCCGAAGATTCAAGACTGAAGAATCAAGACGCAAGATCAAGACGCAGGAAGGCGAGAGAATCAGTTTCCAGGAAGGAGAGGATGCCTGAAGTCTAAGCCTGAAGGATTGGCCACCTTCCGGGAGAGAGACGAATAGGGTCCTGCGCGGAAGTTCGAAAAAGGATTGGGTTTATTATTAAGAAGAGATGGTGCTCGGTAACCTGCTGCAGCAGCACAGGGTAGAGCAGGAAACCATCAGAAAACCCTGAGGTCCTTTATAAAAGAGCCCTGATTGTCGGGACGACAATCTAGAAGAGGGAGGGCAGTGTTACGCCCGCGTCTAAGTCCGCGTCATCCCGTATGTACGAACGAGCCGACGAGAGGAGATTGTTTCCTGGACGACGGACTGTCGGCTGTCAAACGGACGCCATTAGAGAGAGAGAGCTGAGCTGTCAGTGCGAACGTACGTGCTCTGACCTACTCTGTGTTTCTTGTATTACATGTGCTCTTGTGTTGTGTTCATTAAAGAGTTTATTCATTTTGTAAGCGAGTCCCCTTATTTCCGCGAAAGCGTCGGAACGCGAACGCGAACGCGAACGCGAGTGCGCGAGAACGACTCCCGGGCGTAACAATATTGAGACAGTGCAACAATTTGTTCTAGGAGTCACAGCTAACTTATTTTGTTAGCGACTGCTATATTAAATGACTCTTTCAGTTGTATATATTTTTCATAGCAGATATATGGAATAGAAAAGGAAAAATATTAAGAAATAATAAAATAATACGTCATCAAGAAGAAAATTTTATAAAAATAATTAGTAAAGCGATACACCTTATATAATACATAGTTAGTAGTACATATAAATGATACATAATTATGGTAGGTATAAACATCGCATTACAAGATTTATTAAAACAGTGAGATCTCGAAAATTATAAATCGATGTTTGAAAGTAAGTAAGACAAATATTTTTGTCTTTTATATGTTTGTTACACCGTGGCTGGGGTGTAACGTGGGAAGGACTCGGTTTTGGTGGTTTGTTGAATGATGCACAGTATATCGTTTACTCACTGACTGTATTTTAACGTGCTGCTTACAAGTTGAGTACTGCGCGGGCCGACAGCGTAACGCTATGCGCTAACGATCAAAGTTGAACTCCGCAGTGGTCCGCTGGACGACGGGTTATATCCCATCTCAAGTGGGCCACTGCACTGCTTAGTCGTTGCAATTATTGCAACAACGGCAGTTTTGGAACTGAGTCGACAAGGCATTGAGGGATCGCCGAAGTCCTGCGTCGGCGTCCTCAATAATTATGGGTCA